CCCCCCATTTCAGATTACATTCAGATTACCACAAACAAGTCAAACAAGTTTAAACTCTGCCTACAAATTGTTATTGGTCTTCATGGTAAATGCAAATTTAGCTGTTTCATGGAAAATGCAAGTTTAGTCTGCTCTCAGCCTTTAGCAAAGTTTTTACAGAAATACATTTTATCTGCTGTAATAGTGCTCAACAGAGGGGGAGAGACCTGTAAATTATGCTTTAAATGAGCATTGTCGCCCTTCAGTTATGAATGTTTTTGTCAGCTTGTCTCATTAAGGATCAACTGGTTTCTGACTATATATATATGTACAGTGGGTACGGAAAGTATTCAGACCCCCTTAAATTTTTCACTCTTTGTCATATTGCAGCCATTTGCTAAAATCATTTAAGTAAATTTGTTTTCCTCATTAATGTACACACAGCACCCCATATTGACAGAAAAACACAGAATTGTTGACATTTTTGCAGATTTATTGAAAAAGAAAAACTGAAATATCACATGGTCCTAAGTATTCAGACCCTTTGCTCAGTATTTAGTAGAAGCACCCTTTTGATCGAATACAGCCATGAGTCTTTTTGGGAAAGATGCAACAAGTTTTTCACACCTGGATTTGGGGATCCTCTGCCATTCATTTTTTTTTTGTTGATTAAATGAAACTATACAGGTTTGTAACATGAGGGTAAATAAATGGTGGCGTTTTCTTTGTGTATGTGAACAATAAATGTAAATTTTTCGTTTGTTATTTATAATTAAAGTACTACACAAGTATATGGATTTATTTTCCTCTGAATGTGACTTTTAACCCATATGCATGTTCATTCCACTTTGTTGAGAATTACTGAACAGCACAGACATGCTCTGTGTAGCTCCAAAGTTTAGGCCTTCCACAAAATGTACAAAACTCTAATGGAAAGCATTTAATCGTGACAAGTCTGACATTTTCTGTAATATCCATATGTAAGCCTGTGCAACGAGACTTGGCTTCAGTAATACAGAACTTGTATCATCGTCTCTCCCTCAGGAACTCTCTACCACCCCAGCCTGCCTTTGGTTCCAGCTCACCCACCCTCGGCAAGAACAAACTGCCATCCGTCAGTCAGCTCATCAACCCCCAACAACGCCACACACTCACCCCATCCAGCATGACTGGAGGACTAACTGACAGTAAGGGCTCTATAAAATCATCAATAATTCCATAAATATATATTAATAGTCTCTCTACAAATGTCTCAGTGTATGTTAGGACTAACAAAAGATCGTATAAACAATATAAAGTGATTTCTGATCTAAATTTTGCATGAAGAAAGTATCTCAGAACCCTTAGAATCTCAGAGTCCCTAGTGAAGAAGATCCTGTCTGGGCTTGAGAAACACTCAGTTCTCAATGTCAATCTGACAAAGAGTTTCCTTTTAAAATTGAACTAGATCTTTGTGGGACAGTCTGCCTTCCCTTTGGCACTGTCAAAATGTACTTACACATGACAAATATGCATTCTCACATTTCACACAGCAGGCCAAAGGTTTCATATGTTCTGAAATTACCTAATCCATATTTAGAGTTTGTTATTTAAGTCAATTTCAGTCAAAGACTTGACAGTTTATGTAGTGTGTGTATAATATATAATATATAGGCTATACATTTAAATTTTACATATATTGGTTACATATATAGATTTTTTATGTGTTTTTGAAATTAATTTCTAATTCGGACTAATGCTGCCTGTATTTGACAAATACTGTAAAATTTATAATTTTACTTTTGCACACCTCCGTAATATTGTGAGATTACAATTTAAAACTCTGTTTTCAGAATTCTTTGATAAATAGTTCCGTTTTTGAAAATCTTACCCCAAACTTTTGAATGATAGCGCATAATGGTTTACACAAAAATATTAAGCTGCTACTGTTTTCAACATTGATAAATGTTTCTTGAGCACCAAATCATCATATTACAATAATTTCTGAAAAAATAATCTGACACTGAGAACTGGGCTAATGGCTGCTAAAATTCAGTTTTGCTATCACAGAATTAATTCACATTTTATAATATATTCAAATAAAAAGCAGCTTTTACTGTATTTTTGATCAAATAAATGCAGCCTTGGTAAGCATTAGAGACATTAGAGAAAAAATCTTAACGATTCCAAACTTTTGACCGGCAGTGTATATTCTTCAATGTTTTCTCATGTTTCTTCATTATAGTTTATGTAGAAATTACTATGAACAAGTATTATGCTGTAAATGTTTATTTTATTAGTTCCTGATACCTAATGCATTAAACATTGAACCTTATTGTAAAGTGTTACTGTTCTATTTCCCTTTTTTGAGGTTTATTACAGTCTCAACACTTTCCCCTCCCTTCAGTGACCCCTCCCATGATGGGTGGCCCAGTTCCCATGAACACAGACATGAATGCCCTGAGCCCCACCAACCCCCTGCAGCCTCAGTTACAAATGGTGCCCTCCTCTCACTGCACACCTCCGCCACCCTACCCCATGGATAACAGCATTTCCAGGTACACAAATACACTTACAGTAAGTTTCTCTGAAATTGCATGTAGGTGAATGTGTAATATCGTAATCATGTAATGTAATCATGTGTTAAAGCTAAATATCTTGTCAATTGCAGCTTCCTGTTGAGACTGGGCTGCTCAGCCTGTTTGGACTATTTCACAGCCCAAGGATTGACCAATATCTACCAGATTGAGAACTACAATTTAGAGGTGAGGAATTTGCCTTTCTCCTTAATGTTTTTCGTATCAGTTCATACTTGGAAAAACTATTTCGCAGGTACCTTTAAATCTGAACAGATATTGAGAGATTTAGCATCTTGCTCACCAGTGGATCCTCTGCAGTGAATGGATGCTGTTCAAACTGCTGATAAAAACATCACAATAATCCACAAAATGACTCGATTAACATCTTATGAATGGAAAAGCTGTGTTTGTCATAAATCCACCCAGACATTTTTAACTTCAAACCTCTATCCATTATATTGCTTTTGCCAGTGGAAAAAAATATCTCTCCTGAATTGGGGGAGAAATATGCATAGATCGTGCACTGTCTAAAACGATCAAAAATGGTTCTAAACCAGGGGTGTCCAAACTCGGTCCTGGAGGGCCGGAGTCCCGCAGAGTTTAGCTCCAACCCCAATTAAACACACATGAACCAGCTAATCAAGTTCTTACTAGGCATACTAGGAACTTCCCGGCAGGTGTGTTGAGGCAAGTTGGAGCTAAACTCTGCAGGACACCGAGTTTGGGCACCCCTGTTCTAAACCAATATGTTGGTTTGTTTTGGAAGGACAGCAGGGGATAGATGTTTTCATGGAGGAAGAATTTTTATGGATTGACGGTTCAAATTTCAAGCATCTTAATGGATTTGTTTCTTACAAACAAGCAGCTTTTCACTTCACAAGACCTTAATTCATCAACTGGAGTTGTGTGGATTGTTTATGATTATTCACTGCAGAGGGTCCATGTCAAAATATAGGATCTGGCTTGTCTGAGAGATTAGAGCAATGGCTACTGTATTCATGAGCTCTGTGGTATATCTATCCACAGGACTTGTCTAGGCTGAAGATTCCCCCAGAATTCCAGCACATCATCTGGAAAGGAATCATGGAGTACCGGCAGACCATGGAGTTTTCTCCACCTCCCCACATCTTGCGCACCTCTAGCGGGACATCCACTGTCAGCGTGGGCTCCACTGAAGCCCGAGGCGAGCGTGTGATTGATGCAGTGCGTTTCACTCTCCGTCAGACCATTTCATTTCCTCCACGAGACGACTGGACCGATTTCTCTTTTGACCTGGCTCCAGATTCTCGCCGCAACAAGCAACAGCGTATCAAGGAGGAGGGAGAATGAACACAGTGCATCACAGTTTACAATGATATACGTACATACAATATCAACCGTGCACATTTACTGTACATAAACACTCACACGCTCTGTTTTATATTAACACACTTGGTGTTGGTCCAGATCGTTTCACAGTTTTCCTCTGCAAGTGATGATTTAAAAAAAAAACTGTGAGCCTCATAGTCTAGTTCACTTAAACGTAAATGGGCAGATAAAATGCACTTAAAGTCCTTTATGGTTTCATTTTTCTTCTGGTGGATTTAGCTCTGGTTGTCATTTCAAGCCCCTTAATTGAATGCAAACAGCAGTAGCTGAGGGGAAATGGTGCTTTGCTAAATTTTAATTTTTACTGTTTCTTGAGACAAAGCACTTAAGAAATGCTGACATGTTCTTACTACTCGCAAAATACACTGAACTTTTGGGGTTTCGTTTTTGTTACATGGCCAAAGGTATATTTCTGTTTTTTTCTTTGTCCCCCCCCCCTCCCAGCAGGAGCTTTAGTGTTAATTGTATTCTTTGTTTTGACGATCATTCCTTGCAGGTGAACAATGTCATTTTAAAAACGTTAACATTTGTCAGCTTTGATTGTATTTCAAATCGAAATCGCACATGGTTCTTTTCTTTATTCTCGCAGAAAGTGTTATTCATCAATTTTCATTTGTGGTGTAAGACTGTTGATGTCATGCAGCCTTTATGTAATACTGTAAACCTTTCTTTTATTTGTGAGTTGCAAACACTCTTGGTACTATTGAATTGCAGTGTGTACGTATTGAATTGCTTCTGACAGATAATGCATAGGCATGCTGTTTACTGGCCTCTAAAAGTGTTTTACATTGGTACATTGGCCAATGTGTTTGTATATTGCCAATGTAATGTGGCTTCAGTATTTTAAATTTTTTTTAAACAAATTTCCAATTCTCTTGATACTTGTTTGCCTTTTGTGGCAATATTGTACAGATTTTTTTTTATTACGCTTTCATGTGACAACCGAGTAAACAGTTCTTTATGAAACTATTAAGGAATTCTTGTAAATATGTTGCAATGTACTTATTTTGATATAAACAAAATAAAACAAATCATTTAACATTGTTTTTGTATAATTAATAGAACAAAACAGATTTTACTGAGAATGGTCAGACATGGTGCACCTTATTATAATTGTTTTAAATATGAGATTTTATCAATGGCTTTCTGTGGTTTAACAGATAACAATAAACAATGGTTAAAAAGTTGAGCACTGGGGACACGGTCCTCTGAACAGCTTTTAATGTACTGGACATAAGAATCTTATACTCATTTAAGACTTTCAAATTGAATTTTTAGAACTTGCACAGTGAGACAAACTGACAAGACTAGTTCCAAAATGTTATGCGTCACCATCCCTTAGTCTTAATATTTACCTTTAGTCTTCTTTACATTTACTTGACTTAAGGTTTGTGTATACTTTTATTTTTGATGGCTACTGGATTCACAAGCCATTTTTTCTTTAGTGCTTCCGCATTAATACATAATACTTGTATTTCGATTCTCAACAGTAGGGTGGTAGGCATCCTAAACTTCAGGTTCTCAATACATTCTCTGGTAAACTTAGCCATTACTAGAAGACTCTTTTAACTGTCTCACCAACCTGTTCCCTTTAAACTTGAAAGCTGCGATCACAAAACAACTTTATGGAACCAGAAACTGACAAAAGGTTCTAATAATTTCAGGGCGTTTTAGTCAATCAACAGAGAGAGCAGCAGAGTTGTATGGAAGTATTCATGTGTCACACTGATGCAGCCACTTGTGCAAGCAGCAACCCGTAGGGTAGCACACTTTCCAAATATGAAAATTAAGTATATTTATTCACCTCAATGCCTGTACTGAGGCTCCAGGTGAATCTGCTTGCTGTAAAAACACTGCTCTGATAAATACATCAAACTCTTCTTCGTTACATGAGTTTGCAGCAATATATGATGGCTAAATAATGAGTGACCTCAAACACCGAAGCAGATAAAGAGCAATGAAGTTCCTTGATTGAGGTTCCAAAACCGTATTCTCATCCAGAGGACCTGTTTGAGACTCATATAAAAAGCTACCGCTCGTTAAGGCTCGAGACAAATAAAGGAGAGAAAAAAATCTAACTTGCTTAATTAGGTCAGTTTCTTGAAACAGAAATCAAAATCACAAAGCAAAATGAACAAAATAATAATTTCTCATATTGACATCTCCAAGCCCAAAGTTTTAGAACTCCTGTCAATCATGATGGCAATGTGCCTTTAAAGTCATGACAGAACTCCACGTCAGTGTTACCCAGGGAGGAGGTGGGGGGGGATGATGACAAAGAAACAGTGTGGGAATGCTCTACTCCCTCCTTCCCCTTCAGGCGGTTTTGGTTGGAGCTGTGGTTGTCTCCTGGATGACCAGAGAGCAACATCTCTGATGTCTCCGTCATTAAGAGCTCTCCATAGCATCCAAAACTTTCATGATTTGCTGTTTGATGACTTTAGTGGCGTCACCCGCGTTTGGAATTAAATACCTTCAGAAAAGACGACAAGAAATATCACAACACTGACATAAAAAGTTGACTAAAATAAGTAAACATACTAAGCACTAAGGATGTGTAAAATATTATTATTTTAAAACAGAGTTTAATTTTGAGTTCTTAGTCTAAAGGAACTGAGCTTTTCCCCCAAATAGCATTTTTTTCCACCTCAGTACACAAGTTAAAGGGATAGTTAACCCAAAAATTAAAATTACCCCATGATTTACTCACCATCAAGCCATCTTAGGTGTACTACAATACATAAAGTAGTACATAAACTACTACAAAAACTACAATAACATAATTAATACTTAAATAACACTGGTCTACAGTATTATAGACTAGGAAATAATGTGAAATAAAAGTTAAAGTAAAATATAGATTGGTGTCCTGTTGTCAGTTACCATACCTCTCCACAGCCAATATCTCCACTCCTGCAGCATTGTTGTTGCCAAACTTAAAAGTGATAAGTTCTGGATGCTTCTTCTTGGAGGTGATCTTCACCACAGAGTTTAGGGGCTGCCTGGATTGGATGTAAGCAAAACCTTTTCGGGCAGCGATCTCTCTCAAACAGTACATGTGTGTTGCAGTGATCAGCAGATGGCTGTGGAAGATAAAACAATACAGTTATCACCATTATACGCAACACACCATTCACCAGCTAGGACAGCCCAGTATCTGATGGGTTTAAGTATTATCATAACAGTTTTTAATATGCAACAGTATTATTTTACTGACTACCTTGGCTAAGAGATCTGCAACATTGTTATTTTAGAGGGGAATCTGGTTTTTTTTTTTTTTGGTATTTAAACTTATATTTCATGATTTTGACTCGGAAGGCCAATCCCATGTCGTGTTTTCAGACCAAGCGGCAACCTTCCAGTCTCTCTTGTGAAACCAAAACGGAAGTGACTAAAACTGTAATGCATCGACTGGCCGCTAGAGGCTGGCTCCAAAAGGGAGTCAGTCCCATAGACTCCCCATGTTAAAATGCCCAACTTTACAGCAGAAAAAACTTTTTACAGCCTGGTACAAAAAGTGGTTTCGGTCTATATAGCTAATTTTGCCCTTCATGACAATTGTGATAGGGGTGAATTTTTTTATAACTCATCCGTTTAAATTATATTAAGCCTTAAAGTTCTGCATAATTAAGGGCGTGGCCACTTGAGTGACAGGTGGATTGCCGCTGCTGTCACCACAGTCAAGCTAGGTGGGCGTGGTTTCAGCAACCAGCTCCCGCCTCTTTGCCCATTTTCGTTTATCAGTGACATGCGATGACGCGCTGCCAAGATGGCGACGGCCGGCTCATTTCAGCAACCAGCTCCCGCCTCTTTGCCCATTTTCGATTATCAGTGACATGCGATGACGCGCTGCCAAGATGGCGACGGCCGGCTCTGTCTACTTTAGGCTTCAAAAACTCTCTTCGGAAACCTACGTCCATGTTTATGGTTTAGTCCAGTCTATGGTTCTGACAGATAGCCTCACCTTGGGAACATGTGTCCAGTCTCCTTAACTTCATTACATGGAATATGGTGCTTCACATCTGGTTTGTTGATCCAAGTCTGAATATTGACAATCTCTTTCCTGTCATCATCTGATATAGATGAGCTGTCAATCTCATCTGAAAAGAGGGAAGGAATTAAGAAAACATTAAGGAAAAACACAGGGACCCAGATTTGAGATGGAGCGTACCAAATGTTGAATTTATAAATATGTAGAATGGCAAAAGTTTAGTACATTAGTTCTCAACCAGGGGGCCAGGCTCAATAGGGAGGCTTGACAAACTTCCCCAGAAAGTATTAAAATGATTTACATTTAGTCATGTTAACAATCTTATTTAATATATTCCACACACCAGTATGAAACTTCTGTTTTCAGGTACTCACATGACTTTATAGTTTTTTTATGCCTTCAAAACACTTAATAAAAAAACAGCAAAAGTCATATGGTATTCTTTTTTTTAAGCTGACAAATGGTCACCTTTAATTCCTTTTTAATTTGTTTTTGAAAAAAAAAAATCATGCTTTACAACAATACTAAATAATAGTAACAATAATAACACCAAAATTAATGACCTCAAACTTGACTCTGCACCTAAACCAGTGTTATTTTAGCATGTATATACTATTATGGTATTCATTCATATTTTGAATCAGCTTTTATTTTTTTTATTTTCAGTTTTTATTTTATTATTTTTTTTACATTAGGTTTTTTTTTTAATCTGCTTTTGTCATTTTTTTATATTTCTGTTTAGCTTTAATGTAGTTTTTAGTTTTAGTTTACAACAACTTAATCTTATTTCTGTTAGTTGCCACAGCAACATTTCTATTTATTCATTTAAATTTTGTAAATTTAAGTTTTTCATCTAATATTTATATTTTATTACAGCTTTATTTTAATTACCAAAACAAAAAAAGTAATTGTTTGTTATAGATAATGATAACAACACGGGTGCAAGTGTGTATGAACTAACTCTGCAGGAAATTGCAAGTTGAGAACTCCAGGCAGGTTGAATGTCCCCGATTTAAATATGTGTATGTACCTGTATCACACTCTTCCTCATCCCCAATGCTGAAGACAGGCTTCACTCCCCTGTATGGCTTCCCCACCCGATCACTGCTGCTTACGTGCCTGAAGGAAATAAGAAGCATCATAGGTACTTACAAGACCCACTAGAAGAATAAAGGTTTGCCCTTCACACCAACATTGTTTTCCTTGTTCTAATGCAGGCATTCTAAGAGCATGGCAGTGAGATGAGGTGTCCTCTAGGATTAAAAAGGCGAGTACTGTTAGTTGGAAGAAAGAGAAGTTAACATGTTTGCAATTTACCAGAGATGAGAATCAAAGTGTGGAAGGCCAGGCACTGCACAAAAGTTAATCTTTTAAGTCCATTTTACTGTAAAACTGAACAACTTTAACATTTAATCACAATTGCCGCAGTCTTGCACAGCTGTGTTCAGATCGGAATGAAAACAATGAAGGAATGTGTTCTCTCCACACAAGTTAAGAACATATGAGGACCCAGACAGCAGAGATCAGACTTCAGACTGTGAGACAGAAACTGCTAGCGTAAAACAAAGAAAGGAACAAAGTGGCAAAAGCACTGTTAGAGGTCAAAACAGCCAACACTGTCAGAAAGTGACGAGACCTGTGGTTTACAGCTTCCACCATTCCGAGTGGTATTTGTGAATTCTACTACACATGCGTGTGAATGTCTGGTAGTGGATGACAAAGTAGCAAATTCTAGAATGTTACTCTATTCTGACAAGTATTTTAGCAGGAAACAGGAAATTCAAAAGGATGAAAAGGATATTTGTACTATAGATGCAATGCAGATGCATATGGTGTTAGAGCATTCATGAGTGTGCCATTTGCTCAGGGTTTTAAAAACCCCTACAATGAGCTAAAGCTGACAGAGCCACCTTGAGAGGGCATGTTGCGGAAACCAGATGCACGCTGGTGGGGGTACAGACAAACATTGATGAAGTCTTACCGATCCAGTATTCCCTTGTCTGGCCAGGGTAGATTGAAAGATATTCTAGTGTGAAATAACAGGGCATAGGTCGGGAGGATGATTAAAACAGAAAGACTTCAGAAAATCAATCATTTTAAAGAAATCCCTCTACGTAATATAATTTAAGTTTGTTTTTCAAATAAAAGTAGGGGTGAAAAAAATATTTTAAAAAAAATAAATAAAAGAAGAGTCTAGAGGCAGTCTAGAAGTTTTTGCAACTGGCCCCTGATCATTAAACAGTCCTCAATGTTTCTTTTTTCAATTAATAGAAGAACATATCTGGAAAGGAAAATGTGAAAGAATGCCTGTCCAGTGCAATGAATATGAAAGATGCTCACCTGTCCACCGGTGTGGAAGTGTTTTCGATGAAGCTGATCACCTTCTCTTTTACATTAACTGACTTTGACTTGAGTGCAAAGGTCATTTTGTTGACAAGTGATTTAACTCCTTTGCCATCTGTGCTGTTCAGTTCCCCCTGTATCAATATAAGAGATGGGCTGAATTAACTTTGGGAGTTAATTAATCCAAGACTAAAGAGGCATTTGCTTATCACAGTGAAAGTTGAAACATTTAATGCCTTGCTTTACTTGAAATGTCCACAAGATGACACTAAATGCCACCCAGAAAATAAAAGGAAAATGCTACATGTATCCACCTTATTTTTCCAATGCGGAAATAAACTATCTCCAGTGAATGCGAAAGACTTCAATAGCCGCTATAGGTAAATAACCAGAAGAATAAAGTACAATAAACTAATGAGCTACAAACCAATTAACATCAAGCAGCAAAACAGACTGTTTCTGTACAGCTAAAATAACTGGAAGTGAATGACGAAGGACACCTTGCACATTCAAGATAAAAATGGCACTGCTCTTAAGTTAAAAATAAGGTGGATAAAGCTTCAGAGAAGTACCATAAAAACTCTTGAAACAGGGTTTCTGCAGGTTTTATAAAGGTACATGACTTTCAGAACATTTTTAGACCTTTTTAAGTAAATAAAATTGAAGGAATAAATTGAAGGGAACACAATGTCAATTAGGGGTGGGCGATATGGCAAAAATATATCACGTTTTTTTGCACAGTATATTGAGCAGGGGCGGCAGCAGAAAAAACGCAAAGGTAGGCGACCGCCTTGGGCCCCCAAAAGCCAAGGGCCCCCAAAAGCCAAGGGCCCCCTAAAATGCTTTTCATATAGGAGATGCGCATTAAGCGCTGACACGCGAACAGTTGCTGAATACAGTGTTTATTACCACGACAACCGTCCGAATTTAATGTGCATTTTGTGTATCCTGCTTGAAGGAGATGAAAATATTATGCATCTGAAGCTGTAATTAAATATTGAGAAACAGTGTGTATTATGTGTTTATAATTGTTTTAAATGCCGCTTACTCATTTATGAGAAAGTATAGAGGACGCCATTACTTTTTTGGTTGATATAATCCTTAGGTGTGTAAATGCATTATTGCCTTTTCATAATTTTTTCAGTTTTATTTAAATTTGTAGTTAAAATAACTAAAAATAAATGTATTTTAAAGTTTAGAATTAGACAGCCTTTGCACACAGGCTTATGCTGGTAACTCATCAGTGGACTTTCCACGTCAATATAGGTTATATTTTTTCCACACTTTTCTCATTCTATATTTCTGATGTTCCAAAAGCGCCTCCTACTGGCAGAGAATGAATGTTCGAATGTTAATCCAGTCTGTAGTTTTTGTTCAATGCGAAAATCCACCCACATAACCCCGTTTTAAATTAATATAATAATTTATACGTCCGACACTCAATTGTGAGGTTTATCATTTTATAATTTATTTTGTGTTTGTGAAAACCTGTATCTCAACTGTAAATCAGTTGCTATTTCATGGTCTACAACATGAAAGAAAGCCATTATAACATGTACATGAAAAATGTAGAAACATTGGACACAACTATGGGGGCACCATTGTGCAGCAGCAAGCATCACAACAAAAAAGGAACCTCAAGGTTGATCTAGGAAAATGTGTGCAAATGTATAGGGCCCCATTCCTATATTTTGTCTAGGGCCCCCAATTCACTAAATCCGCCCCTGACACTGAGATGGAGGTGCCAGAACTGCAACTGATAGAATGTGTGCTGCAACATGAAACTAAGATATTTCTTCAAAAGCAGATCGTGGAGACATTAATCATCCACGATCAAATTTTTTTTTTTTAAATCACAATATCGCACACCCCTAACATCAATATGTTCTCTAAAATGTAAATGTCTAAGGAGGACCAATATTTGAAAATACAACTTCCAACCGATTTCAATCTCTTTTACAGGAAAAATCAATCATTCAGCCAGTATGCTAAGAAAAATCAACTTACATAAAAGGGACGTGTTCATATACCCCATTAAAAGACTTAGGCATAAAATGAATTAATTTTGCTCAGTTTTTCAAGATTTTGTTTTACATTTGCATCTCATGTAAATTTAGCTTGATTTTAGGATGTTTAGATATTTACGTTGGAAAACAAAAATACTTTTGCAATGATGCAACATTTTGAATTCAAGACTTTCTGCTCTGATTTAAGGCCTTAAATTGTGGAAGGACAAATTAAGACTTTTTAAAGACACACAGAAACCCTGTTGAAAATGGATTGAGAACATTTGATAAAAACAATGCCACAAAAGCAAGGTTTGAAGGCTACATACCGAGTAACACAGCATTGTAAAGTGCATCACACACACACACGCACTCAAAACTCACGTCAGCTGAGCTGAGGCTGCTGTGGGATCCTGAGGTGCTCACAATCCAGTGAACATAAACATTATCCGGCCCTTCAACATTAATATCTGCTAGGTGCTGCTGCAATGCTGTGCATTAAAGAAAATAAATTATACATCTGCACAACGTAACTGCTGCTGTCACCATGTAAACTTGTTGATCAAATTTAGTTTTTTTGTATCTGAACACATTACATTTATTTAATTGTTTATTTATATTTGATTTATTAATTATATTTTGTCCCAAATTTGCCCAGAACATGCAATGCACAGATGATTAAAAAGTGTTATTAATTTAACTAAAAACAGAACTTACCCATAAATCCACCTTTTGCTATGCTCACAAACTCTTTATTTTTCTAGACAAAAAAAATAACATTTTGATTCACCACTTATATTCTTAACAGTTGGGAAATGCTTTCAATAATAATTTACACAATTCCATATGCAGCAGCAGATGCAGTTCTGACCTGTAGAAAGTGGGCAAGCACCATGTTCATATACATGTCCTCTTCTTCACGTCCACTACCCATGAAGCACAGATGCTCTCCGCTTGCCACAGAGCCTGACTCCAGAGACTGCTTCTGTGCCTCCAGAAGAGACTTCACTGACAGGGCAAACTCGGAAGGATTATGAAGCATCTGTGAAACAATACCATATTATTACGGTTTTGCTGGTTAAGGACACAGAGGTGCATAGAGCTGTGTATTTACTCTGTGAGGCAGCTACACATATTAAACTTTGCATTTTTGAGGAAACAAAGTGGATCCAAAGGAAATCAATCTCTAATCAATGAATTGGAATTCCAATTCATATTAGAACAATTATGAACAAAATGCTGCCTTCCCTGCTTGCAAAAATTCTTACCAGGTCAGAGTCCAGGTGAAAGGCAGTGGAGAGGTGACCAGCATTGTACTGCTCAGCAGGACGGCAGTCAACTACAAAAAACCTCACGCCCTCCTAGACAGCATACAAATCATAATTTAAATAGGAATAACATCACTGGAAAAAAGGGCATCACATGTTGATACTCATCTGTTGTGGATTCTTGTGCACAGCTGGCCGAAAACAATATACTTGAAAGACTGAATTTTCAGGGTCAGATACAGTGTAATTTCAAAGTAGATTTTTTTGCAATTTGCATATAGTGAGCACATACAATATGGTGGACGGAAGCTCAAAAGTGCTTGCTTGACTTGAAATATGGTAAATGTGCTATAAAACAATCTAGTCTCTTCAGAAGACTTGGATTAAACCATTTGATTCATATGGATTAGTTTTACCATGCTTTTTGAAGAACAGCGATAGAATATAAAAAATATATTCACTAGTACTGAACATGAACAGTCTTATGGGTTTACAAAGATTATGAGGGTGAGTAAAAGATGAAAAAAAAAATCTGGGTGAACTACCCCTTTAATGTTGATCATCAACATTAATAAATATGAAAGATGATGTAGAGATGTCTTCAACAGTTATCTTAGAGTTGGGACTCACAGGTTGTAGCTGGTTGGCTTGCAGGATTTCAGGGACCGATACAGGCAAACAGAGAGCCTGACTTAAGTCCATGTCTTCTTCCTTCAGAGCCACCAGACTGCTGCCAAACAGATTATGGTTCTCCTGCACACACATAAACCAGACAAACAAGCATGTGATACATGCTAAACTGTTACTGTGATACACCACAATTCTATCTTGATGCATCTATTGTGATGTACATCATATTGAGAAGAAGTTGTTAATACCCAGCCCAAAGAACTCAGATAACACTTACCTTTCTGAGAGATAGAGGCGTCTTGCTGTTGTAATACTGTGCTAAAGAGAACAAGTCTTCAATGTCCTCTGCCTCTAGTAATGCTGGTGACTGCTCCAGCATTTCTGGGGAAGAAAGAAAAAATATATAGCTGTACACTTTGGTCACACAGGACAACGCAAAATATTTTTGTAATGTATTGTTTTAATAAATTATGCATGAAATAATTTACTGATGATGTCCTCTTTGCTGTCTCCTTCTTGGGTAAGGATGCTGTCTCTGGACATCAGAAAACAAAGAAAAGCATATTTTTGCTTGATCTCATAAACAGGAGAGAAAAACTGCCTTGGTGCAGTTCATTAATTAATTGAGTGCACTGAACAGTCTGAACTGTCACATACTTGGCATTGACAAGGATGATGAGCATGAGGAAGAAAACGAGAAAAGGGTCGGCTTGTTGGAGATAAATATCCCACAAGGCCTGTGACACCTCAGGGAGACAGTTGCTAGAGAAGAGACTGCCCATCTGCAGGATACAAGAATTAAAAAAAAAAAAAAACACAGAGCTCAAATCAATTAATTTGACTCATTTTAGGAATATGACCATAAAACGTTTTCAGAATTGATCCATAGTAAGTATAAGTTAAGTATAAATTACATATGCTAATCCAGGGGTGTCCAATCCTGCTCCTAGATGGCCACTGTTCTGCAGACTAAAGCTGCATTCACACTAGACTTTTGTCTCCGCCTGGCGATGAGGTTGCTAGTGGGCGTTCTCAATACTGGTTGCCTTGACAGCGAATCAGGTTTCTTGCTGCTAAGTACAAACATTTTGGAGCCAAAAGACTAAATATAATCTAAATCTAAATTAAATCCGTACATACAAACAAAAATGAATGAGAAACAGAGCCTGCCTACTTCCATTGCGTATGTTTATCTACGGTTGAGAGGAGAACGATCACATGAGCTCTACTGTCTTCTTTCCTATTGGCTGTCGCTCCCGAAAGTCGCTCTTCATTTGCATAAAGTTGAAGGATTCTGAACTTTGTCGCGTTGCTGGACACGCCCCATCCGGTCGCCAACAGTCGCTGTCGCTCGTGTCGCCAGCTCTCCATTGAAATTAATGGGATTGTGACGCTTTGTTGTTGCGTGTCGCTTGTAGTGTGAACGGGGCTTAAAGCTGCAACCTCAATTAAACACACCTGAACCAGCTTATCAAGGTCTTGAAACTTGTACTAGAAACTTCCAGGAAGTTGTGGCAAGTTGGAGCAGGATTGAACACCCCTGTACTAAGCCAAGTACTTGATAAAATATTCAAACAGGCCAAAGATCGACTGACCCAGTTGATGGCGTAGGAATCAGGAGTGATCTTTTTTGTGTCCAGGAATGAGCAGAGTTCAGGCTCATGGTATTGCAGCAGGAGTCTGAAGAGGTGAAATGGTCTTCCCTTCACAACACAGTCTCTGCAAAGGGCAAATAATATGACTCTAAATCAAGAAAACTGATATATAAAACCTGCATGTCCCCCCCTCTGCCAACCTAATTGTTTCAATTTAAAAATTGAGAAAAACACAAACAGACATATGAACACCCCTACCGTGGGATGTATTTATTCATGATGGCGTAGAAGCAGTTGTAGAGGTCTTTGCAGGATAGCTGTAAGCCCAGGAGTGGTTTGAGGATGTGTGGCCAACTAAGATCTGGAGTGAAGGTGACATTTCTGGACTTGCAGTAAAAGGTGATCACTGACTCCACATCTGATACAAGGTCCCGCCCTTCCTCCACTGGTATCCCTAACTCATCTATACGCAAAGAAAAAATTTGCATCATAATATAAGAAATCCCACTATTTCATAGTCATATTTTTCCCTAGTACATTGTTTGAGATAACGGGTTTGCGCACAGAACATAAAAGAACGCATGGGATTTATCATGACTCGGGAAGCATCCTTCCAAGACGAGCTACCAAGCTAGTACTGTTGGTTTATTAACTATGTTTTAACAAGATAAACTATCACGAGCTATTTTTCTTTATCAGATAGAATAGGGCAAAATGCAAGACATGAATGATCATGTGATAGAACCAATTTTTTCTGAGATACTAGTATGAGGCTTAATTTCATCTGAGTGTACATCTATTTAAAATTTGTCAAAAGCATTATTTATTTCTTTAAGTGTACAAAGTTTACTTTAAAATGAAAGTTGACAGTTTGCATTAGAGCTGGAATAACCAACTACTTAAATGACTAAGTAAATGAATATTATTTATTCAGAAAATAAACAAAAATGATGAAACTGAAATAGCGGCAGATCTTTTTATTCTGTATTGTGACATATTCGATCATAAAAAAAAAAGATTGGATTTTGAGATGTGGGCGTTGCACTCAAACATGAATGAGAGTTTGTAATTGATTGTGAAGGGGTGGGTTTAAGATTACATGACTAGAGAAATCCAGCATGTCACCAGAAGTCTATAGTTACTATCACGAGCTATTTTTCTTTATCAGATAGAATAGGGCAAAATGCAAGACATGAATGATCATGTGATAGAACCAATTTTTTCTGAGATACTAGTATGAGGCTTAATTTCATCTGAGTGTACATCTATTTAAAATTTGTCAAAAGCATTATTTATTTCTTTAAGTGTACAAAGTTTACTTTAAAATGAAAGTTGACAGTTTGCATTAGAGCTGGAATAACCAACTACTTAAATGACTAAGTAAATGAATATTATTTATTCAGAAAATAAACAAAAATGATGAAACTGAAATAGCGGCAGATCTTTTTATTCTGTATTGTGACATATTCGATCATAAAAAAAAAAAGATTGGATTTTGAGATGTGGGCGTTGCACTCAAACATGAATGAGAGTTTGTAATTGATTGTGAAGGGGTGGGTTTAAGATTACATGACTAGAGAAATCCAGCATGTCACCAGAAGTCTATAGCTGGTTTTCCCTGGAAGACTGACTTCTGATATTTTAATCAAACATTATGAGGCCAAAAAAAGAAAATAAATATACGTGAATGAATAATTCACAATCATATCTATAACATGCCTAACAAAACAGATGAAATTTCATGCAGACTTTAAACACATTACTAAACAAATTCTCCAAAGAACCTTCTAAATAAAAATGCCTAAATGCATTACAAATTACATCAAAATAATACGTCTAACAGATAAGGAAGGTACTCCTAATACAAAAATAATTTGCTAGTTTAGTTTCAAGACATACTTTACAATTAAAGTCATCACTGCAGTAAAAGTGTTTTAAACTGCAGAAGTACACAAACAAACGGAAAGTCTTGCCAACAGGCAAATGTGTGTGGAATGCACAATATGTCACAGGACGTTTTGAATAACCAGTAGGCTTATAATGTAGAGCAGAGGTCACCAAGCTCGGTCCTGGAGGGCCAGTGTCCTGCAGAGTTTAGCTCCAACCCTAATCAAACACCCCTGATCCAGCTGATTAAAGTCTTACTACGTATACTTGAAACTTCCAGGCAGGTGTGTTGAGGCAAGTTGGAGCTAATCTCTGCAGGACACTGGCCCTCCAGGACCGAGTTTGGAGACCCCTGATGTAGAGTGTCTGACTCCACATTCATAGAACTGATATACTATAAATGTGTAGTGCATTACTACACATAAATGGCACAATGAAAATGAGGTGAGGTGTGCAAAGGTTATTCACCAATGATCTGCTGACTGCGGTTGTGAATGAGCATCTGTTCTGCTAGGTCCAAAGCCCCATCCCATGAGGACAGACTATCTCCTTTACCAGACACGTTCAAAGCAATCTGTCAACACACACATGTTCAACATCAGAGCCAGAACGAAAACTTTTTTGCCCGGGAGGGCCAGTGTTGTCATGCCACTGGGTTGAAATATGGATGCTGTCCCTAGGCTGCCTGCACTCACAGCAGCCCCACTCTTTTTATTTATTATTTTCACATACATATTCTCTTTTTGGAACAAAACAAAACAAACAAAAAAAAAAAAGATTCCAGACGGGATTTCTAAATCGCCCAAAATATCCTGGATTCGGTTCTTGCTTTCTACAGTCGCCATTCATTGTGTTCGTTTTTGTATTAAAGCCCTTCACGGGACGGTTTTATTAATCCCGCTCCCGCTGAATTTCAGACCATTATCACCCGCTCCCATGAATTTTGTGTCCGCTCCCGCAAACATTCTAACATTGCATAGAATTTTTGCGCATCAGCATCAATATGCGGTGTACTGAAATCTCTTCACTTTCGTTTACGCGATCACGCATGCTCTGTGTAAAGCAAGTACATCTAACGAGATCGGATTTTGTCAATGAGCTCAGGATCTGTTGAGCAGCAAATCTACCAGCATGATCTTGTCAGTCATTTCTCTGAAAAGTGAAATCTGACTCCTGTAGCTCGCGTTGGATGCAGGGTTGTCAAGTCCGCTTTTTTCTCTCTTGGAAATAGGCTGCTTTTAAACTGTTGCCATGGGTTCATTTTCCCCCGTGGGTTAACGGTTTGAAAAACTGCACAAATTCCATTTGAATAAAATTTTTGTATTGAAACATTTTGCATATGATAAAACTGTGCTCGATGTCAAGTTTTGTTAAAGGTGGGGTAAGCGATTTCTGGTAACCAATGTGGACATTTGAAATCACCAAAACAAACACGTCCCTACCCCAAAAGGGTCTCGCCCCTATTTTGATAGCTCCGCCCCACACATACTTACGCAACCCAGGCAACGATTAGTTCGGTGAAACAAAGCAAAACCAATGTTACAACCTGTCTACACTGGACGCGAGTGGCGCGGTGCGACAAAATACTATGGAACTCATTATAATCAGTGATGCTGTCTACACCATAGATATATCTATGGTCTACACTGGATGTGGTGCGGCACGACATCCCCGACAGAAAACTGCTGCTGCGTTCTATTCATGACGTATTGACACAAATTTCAAAAGATTTTCAACAGTCACTTTGTCGCGTCCAGTGTACTAGACAGACTTTAGCGTTTGCGGCGCAGACACAGTGTTTTACTCACCTATCGAGAAGAAACAAAGCAACCTCAGCATCCTATCGCAGGCCTTCCGCTCCTCAAGTTCTCTCCAGTGCTGGAAAGCTGATGCAATATTTACACGGGTTCTACGTCTTGCCTTATTGCCTTAAGCCTTCTTTTGATCCGCAGACTTTTTTCCTCTTTTGTTTTTTATCTGCCATCTCTATCTTTCTGTCGCTCGGCTCGCTAATGTCTGTCCTGTTCACTGAACATTCTCTCCTCCACATCATGAGTAGACACGCCCCTTACTGCTGACTGGCTTCAAGTTTGTTTTGCTAGTCGGCCCGAATCAGTTTTCTAAAACGTTTTTGAAAAATCGCTTACCCCACCTTTAAGGATGGCCACTGGTAGGAAGCCTTTTAGCGGTTTATGATCAATTTGCACAACAGTGACTGTTGTGTGAATAAGCAAACATGATCACATTAGTTGCAATATAACAACTTTCTATGCCCAAGTGTTACTAGTGACCCATTATGTTTTTAAAACAATTAATTACAAGGCTGTACAGAACAGTGCAATATCACATACTTATATACTGAGGTTTTACATTATTTTAATATAGTTAGTCGTGAACTAAAGTGGGCTGGTCTAAGGCATGAAACTCCAGGGCTGAAAATGAGTCACACTCTGGCCCTGGCTAATGGGGTGTACACCCATGGGGTGTACGTTTAAAGGGGCCTACACTTTAAGCCTACTACAGTTTCGTTAATGGCTATCTGATCGATGCAGAGGCTCTCTAAAGCCCTTTGGGACCCACTGATTCTAATGGAAACCCTTTAATACAAAGCTCTGCGTGGATCTCTTATGTATTCGGTCATAAGCATGAACACTTTTTCTATCTCTCACATCAACACACAGCATGTACAATCTTTTCAAAGCTTTTTCATAATCCAGACAGTCAGTATTTCTACTTGATGCTACACAGGCTGATTAGTCAAGCCTTTTTGTCTTCAGACACACACACACATATATACCTACCATCCATAACTTGGCCCGCTGTTGTGGGGGTAGGTTTCGGACCTGGATAACACCATCCTGGTCAGTGTCCAGATCACATTCTGCCAAGTCAAGAGCATCAGCCAGATCATGATTCCTTCAGAAAACACACACACAATAAATTCACACGACACACTATGATCAAATCACTCAAACTTCATTTAGAAGAAGTCAAGGACAGATTCAGACCTCACGCAAATGTAAATGTGTTTGCTTTACCTACACAGAAATATGAAACAGAACGGTACTAACAACAGTATTTAAAATTTCTAAATTATTCTATATTTTAAAAAAGTATTTTATGATCACCAAGGCTGTGTATTTAATCAAAATACTGTAAAAACAGTAATAGTGAAATTATTAAAATAAATGTATTTATTTATTTTTTATGTTAAATGTAATTTATTCCTGTCTTGGCAAAGCTGAATTTTCAGCAGCCATTATTTAAAACTTCAGTGCGACAATACTGATTTGTCGCTCAAGCAACATTTCTTTTTCTATTATCATCAATATTGAAAACAGTTGTGCTGCTTAATATTTTTGAGGAAACCATGAAACATAGTTTTCAGGATTTTTGATGAATAAAGAGTTCAACAAAGACAGTATTTATTTTTCATTTATAATGTAGATCTTTTATCACATTATAAATGTCTTTACCAGGGTTTTTCCTGGCTCAATATGAGGAGGTGGTGGTACCATCCTGATCACGTGCACACAATGTACCCACCCTTAACTGGCCAAAACAAACACTTTTTACATGCAACGTATTTCAGGATTTCTAATAATTAGATGATTGAAGAAAATGACAATTATCAGGTTAAATTTTACAAAAACAAACCTGTTGAACACTAAATTAAACATAACATAACAGCTAAAAGGGGCCCTTTTGCAGAATAGGTGAACAAACATAACATTAGGTTGTTAAACACTTTGTGAAATTGAAAATCTTTATTCACGCCTTATAGTCTCCTAGTCCATGCACATCACTTTGATCCAATATACATTTATCCACTTATTATAAAGCATCTTTCTAGAAAACAAAACATTTTCATACAACTTTACGTGATGTTTTTCTGCTAGAATACATCATGAAATTTAATCGCAGCAGGGTAACAGGTGCATTAGAGCCAACATTAGCATCAAGCTACATAAGACTATTACTACACTTTTACTCAAACCTCACTTCAAACCACCATCGAGTGTTTGTAATAACTTCCGATTGCGATCTAACGTGGATTTTGGTCATATAATGATGTTAAAGTAAGTTATATGTAGCCGTTTATACTCAGCTTATAGCTACACCAGCTTAGCATTTCTCATGTAAACATTCTTTATTGTTATGAAAATACCCCCAAATCTCATGAAAATTCCATACAACCTAGGGCCGGGCAGTAAAGGTCAGAAGGTCTAGAAGGAGTCAAGTCAGTTCCTTTGAGGAAGCTCATGCAGAGCTGGCGGTAGCCCCCTTGGTGACAGGCCAGGGTTTAGTTATTATCCTAGATGCTTGGCCGTATCCCCTTAAAGGAATCTCTTTTGTTTCTGATTCCAAGCCTCCAAGCTCTGCCCTGGGTTCAGGCTTTCCAGCCCAGCCCTTAACAGGTAAGTTTTTTTGGGGTATGCAGCTCAGGCCTTTGGCCGAAGGGGAAAATGTCACTGACAGCCATCAAGGCGTCTGTGGAGCAACTCACATAGCTTTAGTAGAGTTGGTACTTAGTGCTTGCCTTGGTGCTTGGCATGCACTCCCCTCAGCATGGCAGCGTGGGTTAGGGCTGGGCGGTATATCGAGTTTGTACGATATATCGATATTTTCTTTACAAGCGATACGATACGAGGCAATAGCGTTTATATCGATTTACAGTAGTTTGATACGAGCGCATCTGAAAATATAGCGGAGGACACAGACTGAGCTGCTGTGGAGAAAGTGCATAATCCAGTTTGTTCTAAACGTGACAACTAAGCTTCATATTAAGGCCTTTAAAAACTGTTAAGATATAGTATAGTTTCACATATTAGTTTAAGTGGCTCGGCCCACGTGAAGTCTAGACTAGTGCGTGTGTGCATTTAATGCGTTTTATTTCACTGCATGATTCAGTCTATTAAAATGCATTTAGAATGATCACAAATTCAAGACATGGCAGAAAATGTATATTTTTATACCACTTCATATAGTTATTCAATTTCACACGAAGAGTGCCGTTTTTCTCCAAAAATTACCATGATTACAAATGTGACATTGAATTCAATAAACAATAAGTTAATTAAGAGACTTATGTTTTAGACACCATATTGCTTGTTTTTGCTCTATTTCGCCAACAAAAATCATTCCGAATACAGTCACAGTGCTGTTTTGTGTCTCTGAGCAACATGACGGTGTTTCGTTCTTGAATTAATCAACCGTTTAAATGATTCGGATCAATCTCAATGACTCACTTATAAACAGTGATTTGCTGCCACCTGCTGGCGGTTTTAATTTCAAATTTCGGCTTTTTCTTTATTTTCTTTTTTCATGTTTTAAATCATTTCAAATATCAGTATTCAACGTTTTATGTTTAATATATCAAAACATTATCTTTGCATTTGTAATTGCAGGTTAAATGCATTCATGTCTTGCATTAAACAAAATACATGTGTGTAAATACATCTAAATGCAACTTCAGATGCAGCTTCTGCGTTGATTTAATTTGCTTGGTAACAGCCCAAATGTCGTCTTATTCTAATTCCCTGATTAAATGTAAGAATTTGACTCAAAAGATAAATGGACACTTTTAGAAAAAATGGCTTTATAAAGGTAAAAATGCCCATAAAATGCAAAAATCAGTTTAAACTTATTGGAAAAGATTCATTTCTATCAGTATGAACTGACCACCACACAGAATTTGAAGAATATTAAAAACATTAGGAGTCAGCTGTCTTCGGCAGTCCTTAAGGTACCAGCACAATAACACACTCAGCAAAATATCATCTAATTATCGTTGTCGATAAAATTCCAGAAAATATAGAGATATAATTTGTCAATATCACACACCCCTAGTCTGTATGCAATAAAACTTTCATTCTACATGACTTTTTTACCCGTTGGGATCTAGACATTTTGTTCTTGACTGAGACTTGGGCCGGTGCTGGTGAATTGTCAGTTTTTGAAGAACTTTGCCCACCAAACTGCTGTTTTATTAGTACCCCAAGATCTGCTGGTAGGGGTGGTGGGGTTGCAATGGTTTTTAAACAATCACTTAATATTCAATCAGTTTCTATTCAAACTTTTTCATCATTTGAAGTACAGTGTGTAGTAGGGGTCGACCGATTATCGGCCTGGCCGATTATTGGTGCCGATATTAAGCATTTTTATGATTATCGGTATCGGTCATTTTCAAAACCAATTCGCCAATAAAATTTCTTAATTTTGAAACGCGCTATTTGGCTCTGATGCCGCCTGTCAGAACTCACCACTCTGTGGCCTAAAGCAGTCTCCGCCCACCACCCATCTGATTTGTTGGGAGTCACGAGTCCGACCAATCAATGCGGAATTCACTCTCACTCCAAAAGTGCTTGCTAACTGGAGCTGCTTCAGTGATCACTTATCAGTTGTCCATCAAAGGTAAGGCAGCAGCAGACGTTGCTTAAGTTGCAATAAATCACAATCCACTAACGTTACACTGAAGTTGCAAAACACCTCAATACTATTATTTCCGCGATGCAGAAAACACGGACGGAATCGCGGAATCCAATCATATAAATGGAATTTACTGTGACGACGCGGAATGTCACGGAATTTGTCAAAGTTTGGATTAATTAATCTAAAGTAGGTCAGTACACTTATAGAGTCGCAATATGGACTAGTATCTGTGTATATTCAGCCACAAAAATACTATTTAAATATGAATCCAGCATGTTCTGCGTGTCTCTGTGTATGTAAATGGCACAGACGCATGGTTTTGTTTTCTACACAAAGTGTGCGACGCTCACGCTGACTTCAGCTTCTGTCGTATCACTACACGAGGACATAAATACATGAACAACATCTCCAGAACTGCTCTGATCCCTCTGAGAGTCACTTCATGATCATTTGACAGTTTCACTGGAGTAAAACTATCGTCATATGATATCATTTACATAGGCTACAGAAATTTTAAAGTTCCTCATGACAACCCGTCAAAATATAAATTCGGGTTAGCTTAAAGAAATTATCAGAAATATATTACTGTGGTGCAGTATGAT